AACAACCAAGCTTAGTGTGGAAAAAGACAAAACTTCTATTACCAGTGATATTGGCATGGAATTTGTTGACCCACGGACACAAAATACCTTGTTCAGCACAGACTATGAAACTCATGAGTTTCATCTGCCAAATGGAGTCAAAATCTTGAATGTACAGAAGGCTTCTACAGAGAGGGTAAGTCTCCTTTAACTAGCACTTTTTGTAAAAGTTCATTACAGAATTGCCTTAAAGTTGTAGAGTAACGAAAAAAACAACTTTACCAATCCAATTTTTCAGGCCTATTAAGAATTTTGTCTAAATGTAGCTAAAAAAGCAGCTCTGAAAATGTAAGTCACTCTAAAAAGTTAGAACAGAAATTAAATCTGACATCATTAAATGAGTGCAGTATGAGGGATACCATGCCAACTAGGCTTGTATGTCTTTTTATTAAACATTTACTCATTTGGGCATGAATAACTGTTTCAGAAATCAAATTTCTATGAAAAGCTTCTCTGTTTTCTTTAAGATCTTACAAAATAATTACCAGAATTTCATGTCTTTCTTTCCTTCTGTTGGAGATAAATGATAGTACAATCAGAATTTCAGAAGTCTTATTACAAGTATAGAGAACAATTACAGTGTTATAGGAGTTGTGTCAGTTCATGGCTTCTAGGTTAAATGAGTTCTTAGCTTGGTTTCTGCATTAAATATGATGTATTTGTGAAAAAAATAAAAAACTTAAATGCCAATGTGTGTACATTTAAAATTTTGAACTTAATGTGAGGCTAATTTCTTTCATGCACATCATTACTCATAACAAAGGCTTTACACATAGGGTACAGTGCATGGTTCTCTTGTATAACTTTAGGAGAGTAGTATCAGTGGTTTTATAGAGGGTTGAGTGTGCCTTAGGAAGCATTGAGTAATCCAGTTAAGAACAAAGAGAATTTAGTTCTTCTTTGTGTTTCCTCTGCAAGGCTAACAATTAGACAGTATCTTCCAGGAAAAAAAAAAATTTTTACATACCTTCCATAATTAAGTAATCCTTGTTTTTAAATGGGAATGTGGAAAATTAAAAATGGGCAGAAACTTCATAGGCATAATGACAGAAGGGCAAAAAGTACATTGAAGTTTTTATTAAATTCTAGCAATTTTTGAGGTAATTGAAAGTACTCAGACAAACCCAAGTGACACAATTTCATTGTTCTGTAATACACTTGTTTTGTCACATTCTTAGATTACCAGCAATGCGACCAGTGATCTAAACATAAAGGTCGATGGCCGTGCTATCGTCCGGGGAAACGAAGGTGTTTTTATCACAGGCAAGACCATTGAGTTTCGAATGGGGGGTAACATGGAACTTAAAGCAGTAAGTATTTCAAATCAGCATTTTTTGGGGAACAGCTTAGTTTCAAATTCAGGCTGATAATGAACTGATGTAGCTTTGTATAGTTTCAAGTTTTATGTGAAGTAGTGTTGCATTAAAGTTTAGTTGCAGTCTGTATTTAGTAGGATTTTCATAGAACCATAGAATCATAGAATAGTTAGTGTTAGAAAGAACCTTAAGATCATATAGTTCCAACCCCCCTGCCATGGGCAGGGACACCACACACTAAAGGTGGCTTATTACTTTGCTGCTAATTACTGGTTCAGTAGTTTCCAGGTACCTATGATTTACTACTGCTAAGAGGCCAAAACCCCACAATGCAGTTAAAGCTAAGCTATTGCCTCTGCACTTAAAAGAATACCAAAGGGAATTAATCTTCTCTTTTGGAGGCTTTACTGGGGTCAGCAACCTTTGACAGAGGAGCAGAGCACGCTATCATCTGTGCTGCTGTGGTATAACTTGCCTGCATTCATTTAAGATTTCTGGAGATTGTTAAGATTGCAGGGCATATGGAATGATGGAAAAGGTTAGAAGAGGATAAAAAAATAGAGATACATACACTTTCATTTCATGTGTGAATAAATTTAATGTATTAATTCAATCCCTGGTTCCCAGTTCATGTCCCTGTTTTTAGATGTACTGCATTTGGTAATAGGTCTGTAAAGTGAAAAGCCACTATTGCTGTCTCTCAGTATCAGTCTACCATTGGAATAGCAAAGTACATTGCTCACTGTAATGGAGAAATCCAGAGGCATTATTCACAAATTTAATTAGAAAATGAAACCTTGTTGTATGTACTTTCTTTATCCTGTTGATGCCTGCAGCCATCCTAAAGGTGTCACTTATTCATTAAACCAGCTTGTCCTTTTCAAAACAACCTGCCTTGTTTAAATTAGAAGTTATACATTTTTTTTTTCTCCTTAATAGGAAAACAGCATTATTCTGAATGGAACTGTGATGGTCAGCCCATCACGACTGCCAAGTTCTTCTTACGGGGAACAGTTTAATAACGGGAACTGGCTGCGTTTCAAGCTCTGCATGTGTGCGGATGGGACACTTTTCAAGGTCCAGGTGACAGGTTATAACATGGGTTGTCAGACTTCTGTCAATCCATGTGGAGCCACGCACTGAAACACAAACCACTACCAGAAGAGTTCTCTTCAGTGTTTACATGTATTTGTATGAAATAATTGCATGCCTTCAAGGATTTCTGGTTTTACAGCAGTTTATACTAACATTTGTTACATAATATTTTTAAACAAAGGCTGTGATGTTCAGCAGTATTGTCACCCCTGTGTTAGCCATAATAGTGGCACTGATGTAATAAGCTATCTACATGTGTACTGAAGTACCTTCCTTCCTGAATTGAGATCAGTAGAATATATTTCAAGAATGTGATCTTAGCAACAGTCTTATCTGCCTTCAGTTGCCTTAAGAGGAGGTTTTTGTCCTACATCCCAAGACCTTGAGGGCTGCTGAGAACATATCTGCGATCTGAAGGACTTCAACAGGAATGCTGATTTGTTGTTGAAAGTGAATTTACTGGCAGATTTTTATCTTCTCTTAATTTCTTGCCAAAGGTTGATATAATGATCTCCCCCAAAATGATGTGGTTTACCATATGGGTACTAAGAGAGGAGTAGTGGCAGATTCACTTTATAATAATGCACTATTTCTGCCATATAGTCTCATGTAGTTAAAAAAATAAATGCTAGCACAAATAATATTTGCAAAGTAATTCCAGGTGTGGAAATGTAACTTCAATTTTTAAACAGTCCTGTGATTACTGAAGTGTCTGTGCAGTTTTGGTATTCTACAGTTGCTTAATTTATGTGAAGTATTTATAAAACATGTTTATATTAGAAGTACATTTTTAAAGATGTAACTTGCTCACTACCCAAGAAAGTATTTTCCTGGGTGCTTTAGTGTGAACCACATATGAATCTGTTTTTCAACAGACAGACATCTAAAGCATGACTGTTGCAGCAGTGCCCGAGATCAGATCTCTTTTTCCCTGTCAATGTCAGTACTGATGCGTTACCAAGAACCTCAGAATTAAATTCTGACCTTAAACTGCGCAGCTGTACTTCTAAATGTGATGGTAGGGAATCCTGGCAGCAGAGTAAATACGTGTGTATCATGAATGTCTATGGAGAAGACACTGGGGCCTTACAGAAACTATTTAACTGCTTTTGCAGAGGTAAGGTGTTCTGTACTAAAAATAGACCAGCGCATTGTAAGATTCCTCCTTCTCCCACTTAGTGTATATTTTCAGTTTAAAATACTTTTGTTTTTCAGTAGCATCAAGTAATCTTAATGGAAGTCACAAAGGTGACTTTGCAAGTCGCTTTTTGACAGGTTCTCCTAGATAAGCACACGCTTCTCTTCCTACAAGTTGTGCAAATGTTACACGTTAACTTCAGAGTTGGTCATTTGTTATGGGAAGACAAACTGTCTATCTTTGGTTTGCTGCTTGCAAAATACATAGAATTCCACAAAATACAAAACAGCTTCTGTTGCAACAAGAACTTTGTATCCAAGGTCCCATCTCCTGTATTTACTGGAAGTCACTATGTGCATGTAGGGCTGGAAGGGGTTTCTCAAGGGAGTTCCTTAGATCAGGCATTATACCAAACAGGAGGTCAGAGTAGTCATGCTTCCCTCATTGCCCAGAGGCAAAACCAGAGTTTGATGCTCAATAGTTGTTGAGGGTTTGGGAAATGGACAGCAGTGGAGATGTTCTAAAAAAAAACAGAAGACAATAAACCGTAGCAAAAGCCATTGAATTGCTCACATTAGAGATTATGGGAAAGTACTAACATTTTGCATACAGCCTTCATGAACACCATAATGTTACTGGAGTTAATATTTATTAACCACTTCGACACACATTTTGCTAAAAACATGTACACACCTTTGCTGCTAAGCAGTGCCTCAGTATCTGTTACAGTTAAGAGGAGGAAATAAATTGTAACACTTTTAGAACTTTCACTCATGCTAATGGAAGTTGGTCACTTTATTTTTGTATATATTAAATATAGACACAGGCACATATAAAAATATAAGCAGCAATATCCTCAAAGCTGAAATAGATCTTGAAAATGACAGATACTGCATCAGAGAGTAACTTACAAACAAAGAGCATATTAAAGCTTTTCTCTCGTTAAGACTGACAGGCCTATATGCTAGTAATTGATTCTTTATCAAGAGTTCTTTTTAAAATACTGTATGCAACATAGCAGAAAGATTTGTCACAAAGGTACTCTTAAATCATGGGCTGGAGACTTGGTTTTGAGGTATGGACCTTTTTGTCAAAATGTAGCAAAACTGATCATGCAAAAAAACCCAAATGAAATAAGTTATCATTTTGTAAGCTATTTATGTGTTGTTAATATATTTTGTTGCCTTCACTACACAGTTTGAAAAATGTTGGCACCACACATGCCTTATGTTGTGCATTTATTTGCTGGTTTTCTTCTAATTGCTTGAGGTACATTTTTCTGTTTCTTGTATTTAAAACACTGTGTGGCACATTCATTATTTCATTCTCACAGATGCACTTACCATCCTGGGTACGTTGAATCAACTTAGATGCAAAGAGTTCTCAGCACAGGTAAAGGTGGTGGTTGTTTGTTTTGAAATGGATCAATAAATTCTTAAGAGGCAGCTGTGGTTTGGAAGTGTTATTTGTAAGAATATAGTTTGTCATTAAAAATACATTGTTGTGTTATCAACAGGGAAACTAGTGTTTTATTGACTGTAAGTATGAAAATCATTCCACATGTATTTGTCATGGATTGTATGTGGTGGACTTTGCTCAGTGGTGATTGTGTGATTCCTGAAGTAGAGTTCAAAAGTCTTCACTATTGTTAGTTCACAAGTTCCTGTTGAAGCTGTGTTTCCCCACTGAAGGGCTGGAAAAGAAACAAGGTTGGGATTGTTTTTCGGGAGAGGTGGTGGGAGGGGAAAGGTTACCAGTTATTGACTGTTCTTTTTGAAAAGTACCAAAGACTCCAAAATGGAATGTTTAAGGCAGAACATTGGTAATGCTTCCTTACTTGATTTTGTTTAATGTCAAAGTATTTCCGCTTTCTGTTTAAGTCTTATTATGCTGAGCTTACCACCATTCTACACTTTACATGCAGATACTATGGATAACCTTCACTTGAGTGTCGTAGCTGTGGTCCTATACTGTCATCTTCCTGGCTCAGTGGGGAGCAAGTCACAGCAGATTCTTCTTGATACACATCACCATTCAGACTGCCAGTGGGGTGAGGAGCTCTTACTGAACTGTTCTTTTACCGGAATGTCTACTATTCCAGAGGATATCTCACAAACAGCAGTAACAGCTGATTTTAGCTACAATAACATTAAAACTTTCTTGTGCACCGGTGGAATAAACAAAGAATGGATGCTGAAACACCTGAATCTCAGTAACAATCTGATTTCTGAACTCTCCTTAACTACTTGTAGGAATTTACCTGCTTTAGAAACATTAATCCTCGATGGTAATGCCATCCACACCCTTACACTGGACATACCTACCCCTGCACATGGGTCATACAGAAAAGCTGATCATCTCCTGCCTGCTTTGAAAGTATTGTCAATGGAAAGAAATAATCTTAATGCAGTTCCAAGAGGTAAGCATTTTAAAACCTTAAAGAAACCTTGCTTCCAAGGGGTAAGTTGTTTTTGGATATGATTCAGTAACATCCTACTAAATTGAGAATGTGATCATCTCTATTAGTTACATGTAAAATGAGGAAAAGTTCCACCCATGTGCAGAGACTGAAACAAATGGGTTGTTTCTGATTAGGCTGTGGGGTTTATAGTCTTTGCAATCATAATGCCTTACTGTCAGTCAGATATAACCAAATTTATCCTCTGAGACCCCAAGCAGTATTTTTGCTTGTGGTATAGAAAGGGAAATAAGGATCTCTGGAAAACCATCAGCCTCCATAATCCAGTCGTGAACCTTAACATCAAGAAAATTATGGATAATGAATTTCATACTACTCTTCAGAAGAATGTCAATACTCTTAAATAAAGCTTACTCTGATTTCAGTATTTCACAAAGCCAAGAAAATATATTTTTTTCAGTCAAAACAATTTTGCTCTGTGCCATCTGACACCCAAGCAAAGTTATACCTGGTGACAGGAGAGGGCTGTAAGGTTTCGATAGACTCCTAGAAAGTGTTTGTCATCGCTGAACTATGGTGGGCATCGCAGCCTTTATGACAGCCTCTATCCTCCTAAACAGGTGATTCACATTGTCTAAGCAGTGGTTAAATGAAGAGGCTGCCATATGAGCAATGCTATCTTGTATATTGTTTGCTGAATTTAACTGATCTTTGATAATATCCAGGTGCTTCATGTTGTCCAAACAAGGGTTAAATGAAGCAGAAACTGCCATACATACATTTCTGGCACAAATTTAGCTTCAGGGAAGTATCCAAACTACAATTCTTCATGCAGGTGCAAGTAAGAATTTATGAGCTGCCAGAACTTCTGAATGCCTTTCCTACCAGCTACCTCTAGTTTTACAGCAGGAATGACTCATTCCCTCTGCTTTTCACAATAAACCCAAAGATCAATTACTCAAGGAACAGCACAGCAAACTGCAGTAAGAGGTTTCCAGCAAACTAGGTGACACCAAAGGCAAAATGTTTACAGGCAAATAGTGGCTTTTCAACAATGCTGTATGATCAAAAACCATTTTAGAGTGACATTCAGGTGTTACAAACTGTAGCGAGGCCAAGTGTTCATGTGCCTGCTGTCTCATTGGAACTTGCAGGCTGGAGCTTTGGGGGCTGGCCGTGCAGCACCTGAGAAAAATGAGGTATCACCAGCATTCAAAAGAGCTGCTTACAGAAGACAGATGCTGTTATAACTAGGATATGCTGAGGAATACACTGTCATGCTTTTGATAATTCACCGGCAGAGAGGTGTAAGAAACAACACATTTTTGTTTTCAGTCAGGTATATATCCTGTGAGTGTGGTTCAAATGGGAAACTCCCATGGACTTACAATATCTCTTACTCATTGCCATTTGCATCACTTTTGCATCTCCATCATTTATTTACAATTAACATACTTGGATTTTATAAACTGAGCATATTCCACCCTTTTCCCACTCTTCCTTTCCTACCTCCAGTTCTCCAGAGAAATGTGCTCAAAGCACAGAGATCACAGTCAGAATAATTTTGATAGCACAAAGGAATTTTACTGCTTTTATGGAGCTGTGAATGTTTAAAACATGCATTGATGGTGAATGTATTAACATGATGCCTGTTGCTGATGCTGTGCAACTTTTAGAATGGGACAACCACTGGATAAGAGAGGCACAATAACTCAAAGCCTGCAGCCAGGCTACAGCAATAGCTATCCTTGCAATAGTAGGGAATGGAAGGAATTTTGATGCAAACAATTTTAAAAAGCCACTTGATGCAGTTGGAAAAACAAGGACATGAATTGTGAAATAGTTTTGTTCTTCCTAGGACTGGGCCTGCTGCAGTCTCTGCAAACTGTCCATATGTCATCCAATGGCATACAACAGATTGATCTGAATGATTTTCAGAACTGTTCACAGCTGAAGGACATCGACTTGCAAAACAACCACATAATTAAAATTCATCCAGATGCCTTCAGGAAGCTCAACAAGTTACAGGTTGTAAAGCAGTACTACAACTGTTTCAGTGTTTTGTATTAATTGCTGTTAAAGATATTAATTATCAACTATTCAGCAGGATTATATTGGTCTTTGATTATTATATTATTATACAATTTTAAAAACTAAAGCAAATGGTGAAAATAATCATTGGTGTATAATATATACTTGCTTTTCATATACAGGAAAACACATACACTTGTAAATATACAAAATATAACCATAAATTCACCATTTATTTATGCCACAAACCAATCCATAACTGGCTTAAACACACACACGTCCTTCTCTACTATCATCCCTTCCATGGTGAGAGCCCCACGGCTTCCCATGCACACAGAGATAGTCTAGAGTGGGAGAATTCTAAATACACCACAGTTTAAACTTTTCATTTAAATCAAAAAGCTTAGAAAAATATTACTGCAATCCTGACCAGAGCTATTGCCCCTGTAACTGCAAACTGCTTGTGTGCTAAACTAAATGTTACTGTTGATACTGCAGTTAGGATTCTATTGTAAGGCTTAACAAATTAATTCTGACTTATTTCCAACTAGGTAGTAGATCTCCGTGGAAATGCTCTGACAACCCCCCTACCACAGATACTGATCAGTTTGAACTTCTTTCAAATTGAAGTGGATTTGTCAAATAATGCCTGGATATTTAATTGCAGACTGAACGCTTTCAAACATTTCATTCATTTTCTTTTTGACCCCACAAGGAAAAAAATGAGTATTTCATACAATAAATCTGGCACCAGCTCACAGAAACCTCTGCTCTATCTTTCAAGTTTGCATTTAAACTGCAGCGACAGTGTTTTGCTCAAGGGGGCTGCCATCCCAACAGGGAAGATGTTAGTGCTAAACTGTAATTCAGACAACACAAGAGGTATGTAAAACAGGACTCCATCCATATGTTACTAAAAAACAAATGTGCGCAGAATGATGAAAGAAATCCGTTTTAAAAAGTGGATTTCCAAAGATACTGTTTAAAAACAACTGAACAACAATGAACATGCGAATTATTTCATTATAAAGTAGTATACCTGTTAGAATATTTGATAGTCATGTTTCTCCAAAGAAGTCTTCGTCTTCCTCTTTACATTAAACTAATAACGATGCCAAATTATACACAAATAAATTTCATTAAGCAGTACATTGCAAATTTATTAGTTAATTTTGGAATGCAAACAAAGGATTGAATAGCAGAGTTGCACGTCTGGGGCATCTAGAAAACCAAGAAGGATACAGTAACATTTCTGGTATTCACCTGTAGCAAAATGAAATGAAAGTTTATTTGCAGGGAAGAAGATTTATATTTCTTCTACGTAAGTACAGCTACTGTAGCCCACAGTCAGCATTTCCAATTATTACAGAGCTAGGTTAGATATAAGGAGGAAATTCTTTCCTGTTAGGGTGGTGAGGCACTGGAATAGGTTGCCCAGGGAGGTTGTGAATGCTCCATCCCTGGCAGTGTTCAAGACCAGGTTGGACGAGGCCTTGGCTGATATGATTTAGCGTAAGGTGTCCCTGCCCACGGCAGGGGGGTTGGAACTAGATGATCTTAAGGTCCTTTCCAACCCTAACTATTCTATGATTCTATGCAGAAGGAAAGCTTAAGATCAGACTTGGAACAGAAGATGTATTTGCCCTCTGCCGTAAGGCAGAATGGTTTAACTAATGGACAATAGCACTTTGAGGAGTAGGCTTTCCCCTTGAAACTCTCACCCCTAAATGAAAATATGTAGTTTCCATCAGATATGCCACCTGCTTTGTCTATTAACAAGGAAAGTCATGGAATCTGATCAATACACTGGATTGCACCAAAACTGAACTGGGAACACAAGCAGATCCAAAGGCAAAGGACTACATACAACCTTAAAACATTTCAAAAGCCAACAACCAGCCATGGCCTACACCAGATAAAGTTTGGAACAATTGCTCAGTAGATACAAATATCTTTGCTTTTCAAATCTTACTGTTGCATTCAAAGCAGTAACTAGAGGAAAATCACAGTGACTGGCACACTGACAGCTAACGAGTGAAGCTTTATCTCATTGCTGCGCACAATGAGCGTGTCCACAGTGGAGAATGGCTGGCTATAAATACAGATCTTCCACAAGGGACAGCAGCAGGTGTTTCTAGTACAACCCAGAACACACTTAGGTAATTCTAGTGATCTGCTCCCTCACACATGCTATTTTTCTTGTAATGCCTGCTATTAAGATCCCATAGGTACAGTTTTAAAGGGGGGGGTGGGGGGTGGGGAGGGGGAGTATATGGTTGTTTAACAGATACTTGGTAAAATGACGCAGGATGGATAAAAAGAAAATGGATTTTATAATAAATAGCTGAAATTATCAAAGATAGGTCAGAGCATATTCTTACAGAAACAACTTGACCCCCAAAACCAAGTATCCTATGCTTTTAAGAAAGATTTAGTTTCTATCTATTTGCTTCTATTTCAGGTAATAAGAATGGAGCCTCTTGGTGGACACCTAATGGCAGAATTTCAAAAGATATGAGTCTTTCTCATATGACCCTGGATAAAATTAATAATTTAGTGATACACAATGCTGAGAAAGCTGCTGAAGGGTTATATTTGTGTATTTTTAATACAACAAAGAGGAAATATTTCATCTATGATATACAGGTGAAAGAAAGGGGGTCAACATTTTTGGTTCGCAAAGCCCGAGATGCTAACCCTGCTTTGCGACAAGGAAGAACAGAGCAAGACTTTACACTGGCTGTGTGCCTCTCGGTGCTCATTACATTTGTTTGTGCTTTTTGCCTGGGTGCTTTTGCTAGACCCTACCTTGGAAGCCTGTGGAGACTCATATGCAGGAACAAGAACTCAGCTTCAGAACATACTTATTGTAACCAAGCTTTTTCAGATGAAACCTTGAGCAGAGAGTGCTCTGCAAGCACGAGCAAACCAACCAATACACAGCACAGCTTGTTCATTTGTGATGAGGATTCTTCAAGGAACATACACGTTCTTCCTACAGAAACTTCACAAGCAAATGTCATTGGTAGCAGCGTATGTGCACCAAATACTGGAGAAGAGTACCAGAAACAAAGCAATGATGAGACCAATGTGAAGAAAAAATCTTGTTTTTCAGACATCAAAACTAGCATCAGCAATGATGAAAATGTAAATGTTGATGATAATGGGCTGTTTTCTGTAAGGACAGATGACAAGGACAGCACGAAAGTAACACCAAGAAAATTAAAGAGTAATGTAATTTCACTACAGAAAGATCCAATATACACAAATAATGAAGCCTCAGAGAAGAGCAGGATCCCTCCCATACACGGGAGATCAAATGCTGACTCTTACTCACATCACTCTTCAGATTCAGATGTACCCTTCAAGAGAGTAACTGGCTTTCCACTTTCCACAATACAAGCATGTACAGTTGCACAAGATTCTAGGAACAGCAAGGTAAGCAAGAGCTCTGCTCTGCTGCAGTCCGGTATCAGAGAGGCTACACCAGATTCTCCTGAAAGAAAAGGTGTTGTTCCACAAAATGAAGCCATGAGCACTACAAAATGTATGCCTGGAAGGCAAAGCTGTGATAAACAACGTTGTCTAAGCAGCAACCCCAATCTAACCAGTGATGTGGGAGATTTTATTTTACCCAGTAGCTGCAGAAGAAATACAAATATTGAGAATTTAAGCATCTACCAAACAATAGAAAGCTCTCCTTTTACAGAGTACAATTGTAAAGCAGAACCCACAAATGAAAGAGGTACTTCAGCAGATATATTTGATGACAGTTTTTCAGATGAGGGGGCTCCATTCACAATGAGCGACTGTAGTTCTTTAGTAGACTTTGAACTGGAACAAGCTGATGTTAGAGACGGCATGCCTGTCTGTCAGTCATCAGCAGAGGAAGCTGATAGGAACAGTGGAACTGAGAAGTGCTCAGCACTGCCAGAATCTCCAAACCTTGCTGCTGGACTTCAGCGTGTTGGGGAAAATGAAGACGAGAATAACGCGCATTTTGAAACTGCTATTAATTATGGATCAGATACCATCATGTTTGAAACAGCATTGCCTTACGCTGATAAATGCAGCAGCCATGTAAGCATGTCGGATCCAGACACAATTAGTTCTACAAATCAAGACGTTCCTGTTACATTTGATCACTTCATTAATGCTGAGTCAGCAGCACAGACCTCGGTTTCTGATTCTCTCTGCAATCCAAGTGCAGGTTTTGGTAACATGTTACTTTCATTAAAACATTCTCCCATGTATGATGCGGATAGAGAGAACACTCCTGAAGAGGCTGAGCTGCAGCCAGATCAGTTTCCCACGAAACCACAGCATTCCCTCAGCTTCAGTCCCACTGGACAAAAGGCAAATGCACCAGAGGGAAGTACAGATGAACAGAGAGATAGGAACTCCTCTGAAAAGAATCATGGTGAAGGATGCATAGCACTACGAAACACATCTGACAACAGTGATTTCACTTTTGCTCCCACTGATAGTGGTTTGAATAAAATTGGTAAAAGAACATCACTACTGCGTTCCAGCAACAACTCACCTGCTCACTCTCTGCCTGAAAAACAGCTGACAGTTATTACAGAGACAGAAGACTTGCTACCACAGAGGAAGCAGGCAAACACACCTAAGGCTCATGCAGATGTAATGCAAAGAGGTTTTAATGAGAAAAATTGTGATGGATACACGGAATTACAGGATACCAGCAACTGCAGCCTGCCTGAAGCAGCAGATTTGCTGCATCTTCACTCTTCTGGGAAAACACAACCAATATTCAACACAGATCATTTTCAGCTGGATCAGAGTGATGAGGATGCATATTCCCTCTCAGTCCCACAAGGCTTCTTCAGTGAAAGCACACGATACAGTTCATGTTCATTCCCACAAACAACTACAGGGAATACAATCTCCAAAAGCACTCATTCCAGAAAGGTGGAGGATGACACTACTTTGACAGGACTGCAGAACAGTTCTACAGCAGCTGTCAACCTCCAAAATTCAAGCGAGAAACTCCAAAGAGGTCAGACCAATTTAGGACAGGGACAGGTTTTCATTAAGAGGAAGAGAGCATTTGATGGATTTGCTAAGGTTTTGGAAAGCAGGAGAACAAACTTCAATAGCTGAGACACAAAAATATAACACTAAGCTTCCACAGTGTTTATGTCACACAGCAGCTGCAAAAAATGATTGTGTCTTAAAATGATGTGTGTAACTTTTAATAACTGTTAAATAGCCTGGGTTGGTTTGCTGGGTTTTTTTGATAACTCTCAGTACAACCATCTATCTGCCTTTAAGTTCTGAAAGCCAAGTTATGGAACTAGAGTGTATGTCCAATTTAAAACCACTGTAATACCAAAGGGTAATTTGGGTCAGAAGCCATGAACTTGTTTAAGGGTACTTGTAAAAAAAAACCAAACCAACCAAGAATAGATTTCATGAAAAACAACTCTAGGATATTCAAATGAGTAAACTACTTGGTAGCTGTACCTGCTAATAAAGCTTTTGCTGAGTTACAATAATAATATATATTTACTTTCTTATTATTGTTGGTACTAAGATATTAGTTTCCCTTTAAACTGGCCTCTAATATGGACTGTTTTGTTTCTCTTTGTCCAAAATAAATGTAACACTGAAATTATTACACTGTTACTGTGTTTTCCTGCGGGGCTCACCCTATACAGTGAAATAGTGCATATTACTCTCTTCTGCTTTTTGAACCAAATTTGTGGATTAAGTGTTTCTGAACACCCACAGTTTTACAGAGATAGGTAAAGTCTGAGCAGTATTAAATTACATGTAAAAAATGAGGTTTTAACTTGTCAAGACAGAGAGAGAAATGGAACTCTTCTTTCGCAAAGAAACAGAATTCAAACCTTGCAGAAAAGTCAGCTATGGAAATGCAGCTACCTGCAGTTTGCAGGTGTGCTGGCACAGGCAGAGTAACTGAAGAAAAGCCAACCTACTATTACTAAGCTGTAATTCCCTAGGAAAAAGGATCCTATACTCACTTCAGAATTTCACTTAAGAGGGGCAAATCAAGAGCAGCTCAGAACTGCTGTATTAAGACCAGCAATAGCTTGATATAAAGTAACTTTTTCTAAGCCAAAAGATAACAAAACTAAGTTTTTTTCTGAACGTGGCCCAAGGCCCTTTTTAACATACACAGTACCATGGGCACAGTCTTTGGAGGGAAACGGCATCACGATGGGGAACAGGCCCAGGTTCCCATTAAAAACAGGCTGGCTGGCAACTTGGGGAAAACCCTGTCATGCAGTCACAAATTAATTCACTAAAAGCTGTGAACAGAAGAATACATTTCAGTTCCACCAGATGAAAAGTCCAATGGCGCAGGTACATCTCTGGAACTATCTTTAGAGAGAAAGCTAGGACAGAAGAAACCACTGCTGACAGAAGCTAGGGATCGGTTAGCTTCACATCTTGGAGCTAAAAAAGAACTACTGCAAAAAAACTTGAGGCAAGGAAAAGCAGCTGAAGGAGACCAGTACTGGTATTACTTGATCTTTTGAAAACCATTTTCTTTAGTGCCTTGAGTTCCTTCCAGCAATTACACATTGTAGTGGTTTAACCCTAGCTGGCTACCAAGTGCCATGGACAAACATGTACCATCACAATTACCAGTTAAACACTTACCGAGCCAAGTCACTTCTGCTTAGATTTCCTTCACAGGCAATGAACCTGCTGCAGTCACACAGATCTTCTTGCCTACCAATTAATTCTCAGAAGATTTCTGTACTTTTTTGCTCCAGTACTCAGTGATACCTAAAATGCTAATGAGGTAACTAAGAACTTTATTATGAGCAGGTACCGGCTTCATTCCTTCAGTAGGAGTCCACTCAGGAACCAAGGATGAAATCATCTTCTGAAGAAACTGATTCATTTGTCATCAAATTATTCATGAGTTTAAGGGTCAGATTTTGTTTTCAGTTTTTCAAACACAAGCAAAGGTTTTACACATTTCACTGTCCACAATTGTTCCTACTCCAAGTAGACAAGAATGAAACAAAACAATACAATCTGCAAAAGTCACAGCATCCCCAGAAATGTAACCAAGATAAAGTGTTACCCAATACAACTCATTCCTTGATTAGACAAGTGTCTGTAACTGTTATACCCTATTCTGCTAGGGTGAGGTGTCCCTGCCCATGGCAGGGAGGTTGGAACTAGATGATCTTAAGGTCCTTTCCAACCCTAACTATTCTATGATTCTGATTTTTCTCTCCTAAACCCCACAGTCTCAATCTCATTTAATTCCTTGGCATCCACTGAATTTAAGGCTGCTGTTCTCAGAAAACAGAATGTGACAAAAAACAACTGTGTTTTTAGAAGCTGTCTAGAAGGAAAGGACTGGGTAATACGAGTGTGATTCCTCATAGGAACAGCTACAGAGCCACCAGGAGCAGAAAACAGAGCAGTATTTCCTCAGCACCAGTGCTCATAACTGGCTTTCAGTATCACTCATTATACACACAAGTTACTTGTGGCCAAAGCAACTTAAAAAATGAAATACATAAAAAAGCAGAGATTTGCTCATTATGGCATGTATGAATCTTCACACACGGTGTTGACAGACCATTCTCCAAGGCCTGTCTGTCACATTTTGGCTGTACCAGCTGCTAGCAAGTTAAGAAATGTAACTCCATAAGCAAGGCAATTTTGTGGATCATGAGAAAAAAAAAACCAGACTGGCTCAAGTGCTGTCTCATACGCAGCAAAGCTTTGTCATTTGCTACAGTTCAGCAGGCTACCAAAATGTATATTGCAAAATCATCTTCTCATTTTTCCTGACCAGGGGGATGGTGCAGTAGTGATGCTGCAGAGGTGATGCTGGCAGTCCGCTGCTTGTGAGAAGCTGTGAGAGTTCTCAGCCTCCCTTATGCCATAAAGTTACAGAAAAATAGTTATTTGCTGTCCTAATCAGGTAAACTTGCTTCCTCATCAAGGGATTTTTAACATGGGACAAAGTATTTAATTTTGCTGTCAGAATATTTTTGATGTTCTGGCTCAAACTTACCTTCAGATTTCTGCCTGATCGTGTGCCATTCTTTGCTACTGATCTCTCCACTCCTGGCATCACTTCATGCAAACACAAACAGCTGCTTCTCATTCATACTAGCTCCTCACTTCATCAGCAGTTGCTCTTGAAGTTAATATAAAACCTTTTTCTATTTTCTGTGGCTTCCAAGCACTGCTCCTTTTACTTTGCTCCTCTCCATCCACTCTATTTCACCATGCACTTTTGTATACAATAGCTATAGTCCCTCCATTCACCAACTCCCTTTGAGGTTTTATCCACTCCCTTTTCTTTACACTTCAGCTGGTATCAATCCACTGTATCCTGCTCACACCAGTATCTTCCCTAGTTTAGCTGGTTGGTCACTGAGAATTATCTGGAATACCTACCCCACTATACAACCAGCTGCTGGTAGAGGAGCAGAAGTGTATGCTTTACTTTTCTTTCCCCATGCACAGGAGTTACAGCTGCAGAGAGGAATAACTGCAACTGCTGCTCCAGGGAAGCTGAAACTTCTTCAGCTTCATCAGTAACTTCAAACTGGTAGCAAAACTTCAAAAGGTAGCAACTGGTAGTAACTTCAAAAGGTAGCAAAACTTATGTTCAGGTAAGACTTGTGTTACTATCACAGGTGACGGTAAATAGACCAAGTCACAGAATAGACCTGATGATAGAGGTGGCTGAGCATATGCTGTATGAATGTGCACATGAACCATGAGGAGGCAGCCAAGAGGATTTTGGTAATACTCTGGGCACACCTCCTTAAAGGGCAAGTGTGCTGATCTCTAGTGTTGACAGGACATAATATACCTCATACACTGAATCAGTATAGGAAATATTAATGAAGTCTTAAGAGTACATAGAGAACTACAGTAATCAGAATGAAATAAAGCTCTCATTTTCTAACACATATTTATGATACTTGGATAACTATCAAGTTGTTTGCTGTAGGTACAAAGCATTTCATTTGTTCCAGAGTTCACTGGTAACTAGGCTGGAAAATAATCCTTGAATATCAAGAAAAGACATTCGCATCTAACCTACATATAATTAAAATCAGAAACGATTTGAATAATAATATTAAAGTTTTCATGGTAGAGGAGACTATGACTCACCCCCTTACAGATGCAAGAAGCAGGCTACATTCTGAGAACTGAAGAAGGCAATCCCAGCCTTCCCTAATGTGAGCATAATGAAGAACTATGTCTCCAGAATGGGCTCTACATTACAATATTCAAACTGTACTGTAAATGCATTGAACTTTAAATAACATTTTAAGTCAAAAGCCTTAGGAGTGGCAGCTCAAATAGTGAAAAATATTAAAAACCCCGATTTCTTATAGTCTCTAACATGTGCTCCTTATTTTCTCGGCCAGCTTTTAAGTCTGTTTCCTATTCAAAATCAGATTTGTAATTCTGCAAGCAATACAAAGTAGTAAAATTAACTAACAGCTCCTTTAAAAACTGTATTTGTGAATATTATGGAGACACAGGCTGTAATTTTCATGTCTTATTGCTAGCAGCTTTTCTACTGTTCTGCTTAGATAATACCACTTCTGCAGTATTAAGTATCTGGTATTAAGATCAGTGCAACAGCTCATTACAAGTCAAATAATTTAAAGTCTTTTAAAAGTAAGGAAACCACAGGCGTTTAAGGTCACAAAGAGACTCTCTGATCAAAATATCACTACATTTGAAAACCCCTGAGACTTGTCTTCTCTGCCAGCATTAAATCTGAGTAACTGAAGGGAATGTTAGCATTTTCTTTTAGAAATCACAGAAGAGTTGGCTGGACGGCACCTCTGGAGGTCACCTATTCCACCCCTCCTGCTCAAGCAGGAGCATCTACAGCTGCTTGCCCAGGCCATATCCAGAAGGCTTTTGAGTATCTCTAAAAATGGGGACTCCACCACCTCCCTGCATAACCTGTGCAGTGCTCGGCCACCCTCACTGTCAAAAAGTGTTTCCTGATGTCCAGGGGGAGTCTCCCGCCTCTGGTTCTGCCCCTGGGCACTAGTGGAAGGAGCATGGCTCCATCTTCTTCACACCCTCCCTTCAGATATTTACATATTAGTAAGATTTCCCCCTAGCATCTTCTCAAGGCTCAGCAGTTCCAGGTTTCTCAGCTTTTCTTTGAAGGGAGAGAAGCTCCAGTCCCTCCACCAACCTCATGGCCCTTTGCTGGACTCAAGAGTTTCTCTGGCACTGGGGAGCCCAGAAGAGGACATAGGACTCCAGGTCTGGCTTCAACAGTGCTGAGGAGAGGGGAAGGATCATCTCTCTCAGCCTGCTGGCAACACTTTGTCTAACACAGGCCAGGATACCATTTGCCTTCTATTGCTGCCTCATCTTCAACTTGGTGTCCACCAGGAACCCCAGCCGCTTTTCTGTCAAGCTTGTTTCCAGCTGGGTGGGTCCCAGCATATGCCAGTGCATGGGGCGAATCCTCTCCAGGTGCAGGTCTTCGCACTTCTTACAGTTAATGAGGTTCCTGTCAGTCCCTTTCTCCAGCCTGCTGAGGTCCCTCTGGATAGCAGCACGACCCTCCATTGTATCAACCACTCCTCCTGGTTTGGTGCCATCGTCAAACATGCTGAGGGTACCCTCTACCCCATCATCCAGCTCATCAATGAAGGTGAACAGGACTGGACACAGCATTGAACCCTGGAGTACAGTGCCAGTTACTGCCTCCAATTAGACTTTGCACTGCTGACCACCACCCTCTGGGCCCTGCCATACAGCCACTTTTCAGTCTGCCTCACTGCCTGTTCGTCCAGCCCATACCACCAACAGCTTTCTTATGAGGACCTCACGGGCCAAAAGCCTGTGGCAAGATGTTGTGGGTAACAATCATTATTCTTGAAAAATCTTAAGAGACATTCCTGCTCAAATTGACTCTTTTTGTTGAAAACTTTTGTAATACAATGCAGTTCTACACCCATACACTCCAGCTGAAATGTACCTTTCTCCAACAAAGTTTTAAATACTGATATTCCTTACTATTAGAAATAAGGATGACAAGATTGTACATAGCAGTTCTCTGCTACTAAATGATAAAGGCTGCCAGCTGAAGTGATGCATGGGATATGAGAATTTCTGAAGTATGAACCATAGAAAAATCTGAAGTCAGTTGCTGAAACCAACACAAATACTGTTTATTTGTGAGATGTCATTTTACATCAACACCAGCAAAAGACCTAAAAATCAACCAGAGGAACTCAAGTTAGGTGGCATTAACAGTATTTCCATCAGGCTGTGAATCACAGGAGTTTAGCACACCTTATTTATGTAATATCCAAGTAACAAAGCATTCACAGTTACAGGTTAACTGCTGTTCCTGCATCAGCAGTGTCAGTAGGTACTATTTGGTGACAACACACGTACACGTGTACACACACACACACACACAGAGAATGGGGGAAATCTTTAAAAATAAAAACAAACAACAAAAAAAAAAAATCAAGCCAAGTTTTGGTCTCAGTTACAGACAACAATGTAGCTGGTGGGTGGATTTTATACACTTTTACAGCAGTATGAAAGGACAGAATATAAGGCCTAGGAAGAGGTATCTTAGCAGTTATACAAGGGCACAAGCTAACCTTTAAAGCTGTGTGTATGAATTCCAGGAGTATTAAACAATTTGTTAGACTTGTGACCAAGGATCAACAGAAATCTGGGAAAACCTGAACACAACCGAAGTCCATTTCTTGCCCTCCAATAAAGTAATTTGGGAACATTTACCAAGTAGCAATGAGCTGTAACTAACTTGGATTGTGTGAGCACATTTGTGATGAAATAAAATGCATGTATTTGAGGTAAGATGGAAGACATCTCCAGTCCTCTACTAACGCTAGAAAAGGCTACACAAAGGTAACCCAAATATTTATTGTAGCTTAAAGACAACCTTGAACTGAAAACTCAAGCACACAAAGGACTCCACTAAATTCCATCCTCTTCAGCTTGTTTTCCTTGAAAAGGATGAAGAGTGAAAAAAGAGTCACACAGAACTTTGTTAATATTTAATATTATTTTCCTGTAGAATGAAACTGAATTTGTGGAATGTTCCAGTTACTAATACTCACAGAATCATTTAGGTTGGAAAAGACCTTTAAGACCATCAAGTCCAAAGAGCTCCAAATGTTTGTCATCTATCAACTTAAAGACTGTCCACTGCTATAGTCTCTGGATGCTGTTTTCCTTCCACTAACTGGCTTTCCACTTGTATCTCCCAAATACCAAGTGTGAATTGCACAGAGATTATCAAGATTCTGCTATAGGGATAGTAGTAATACACCAGCAAGATTAGCGCGAGACCCCTGACACTTCTTCCAGAATGACCTCTAAGTGTCTTGTCCAAGAAGTCAGCATATTCTATATATTACCTTTCAAGAGGGGAAAAAAAAAAAACCCAAACAAAACCCTGTATTAACTGTATCATGGCATAACAAACCAAACAGCAGACACCATGCTTGTATTAACTACAAGGTAAACCCAGTGGCTTAGTTACATTTTCACAGTTTTTAAAAATGAGAATGATTTTCTCCAAAATACATGAGCTGGCAATATCAGGTTTCTCTACTTATCAGTGTATCTAGCACAAACAGAAGGATGGATAGCACAGGAAAGTTATCAAGCCATATGGGTCCGTTTTAGTATATTTGTTCCCTATAAATGTCAGTAAAGCCATCTACAAGCTCCAACTGAATCTGTGGCTGATTATATGAAGATGCATGTTTATAAACCAGCTGAAGACTACGGATTCATCCTGCTTGCAAGTGGAAGAAAAAAATTTGCAGCACCTGATTCATTTCCAAACACATTCATCCTTTCCATTACTCCTGATTGCTTTTACACAAAGAAAACTCAGTTTGTTACCTTATACAACATGAGTGCTTTCTGAGGTTTCCTCTCCTGTTTCATTTGCTCTTATTTTACATTTTGTATTCTGCTAAACATTAGCAAAACTTGGAAAAGGAGCACCTGATTAAGCTGAACAGATTTCTGTTGACCCTCTTAGATGAAACTTGTAACAGTAATAGATTAGAAGTGTCTTTGGCTCTTGCTTCCATTATTGGAAGCCAAATTATGTGTGACATACAAAACCTTTTATGCACATCTTGTATTTGTTGCAGGATACATGCCAATTTGTGCTAAACTGTTTTCTAGAGTCAGTAACTAGCTTAACACTTAGGAACAATTACAGTATTTCACTTAAAATTTTAGCAACCACAATCTAGCCTAATGTTAAAAGTTATATTGCTTCTAAGTTCATTCTTTTCAGAACTAAACCAGCAGCTCCACTGATTATTTAAGGTTATACTACAGTAATATATACATTTACATCAGAAGTCTTAATAAAACTTATGTTTTTTAGTAAGAGGCATATTGTAAACATTAAATACCACACTCCACTGAATTAATTTCTTGTGCAAACTGGCATTAAACATGGAATTAAGGTTATGCGTATTAGTACATAAGAAGTACATATAAGTACATAAGAAAGCAATGACTATGTATGTTTTAGTACTATTAACTTCAAATAGCACTATTTAGAAATCCAAACATGACTATTTCACAGGGAAAGGTAGTCTTGTCTTCTCAGCATCATGAAATTCTAGGGGTTTGTATATGCACATATATTGTCTATTTATGTATATACAAATATACATAAACACAAACAATTTGTCTTTGGCAGCTGAGTTTGACAAACAAATATAACAACAGCAAACAGATTTGAACACAACTGACCACCTGTAGCACCACAATTACAACCTCCTGGTCCAGGGTAGCAAACTAATGTTTAAGCACCACATTTAGCTTTTGCTAAACTAGGCTTAATCTTGAAAGTAGTCAAGTTAAGGACGGTTGTTCCTGACTTCAATGATGGCAGAACAGGACCTTCAATACAGCTGAAAATTTCACATTCAACATGAAACATTTTCCCTCTCCCCCAGATTGCGTTCTAGAGCAGTATCAAAACTGCCAATACCTTGTAAAATATTTCTACAGAAAAGTAATGTTATTCTTCATTCCAAAACATAGATTGGCTATTTCTTGTTAAATGCTCTGTGAATCAATATGGAACATTTTAATAAATCGTAAGGGTTCAAAGTTTAATAGCACCGGATACTTCGAGGACCTATTTATAAAAATCAGCACATTACTTAAAGAAGAATAAGGCAAAGACAATGTGACAAAATTATGGAAACAAAACGTAATTCCATTCACTCATTTTCCCTAAATTAAACGCTAGAATGGCCCGATACAGATAAAGAATGAGTGAAATAGGAAGTGGTCCCTACTAAAAAGCACTGCCATTTAATGCTGGTGTTTAACATGCCCGTTGCCTGCAATGGACATTCTGAGAATTCCAATCCCCAGCATGAAAGAAAATGTAATGTTTTGACTATTCGGTATCATATTTCCAATTACCTAGAAACACAAAGTTAGAGACCTTGGCAAAGACTACAAACAAAAACCCATCCAAGCTAACAAAAAACACCCCAAAACAAAAAAAAATCCAACCCAAATCTGTATTATCTTTGTGCTAGGGCTGAGCAGATTTTATTCCCCAAAACAATAATTTTACCTAGAACTTCCAGTTTCACAAGATCACAACTTAGACCAAACACTCTTGGTACACCAAAAATTAAGAGGAGTATGCCAAAGGCAATTTACAAAAGTCTAAAACCCATTTTTAAAAGGTACTTTAATTTGTTCATTGGTACCTGTAATGACTACTGCAGTTTTAACATTAAAAAGTCAGTACTTTTTTCTTCAAATGGAAATCATTTGTGGCATGTACAACTATTACAGTGGTTTGATATTTGTATGTGTATACAGAGAATTTTAAGACATCAATGTTTCATTCCTATTAAGCAATAGGTCAGGTTTGGCGAATTCTGGTGAAGAAAGTCACAGCATGTCTTCTCCTCCCAGAAACTGGCATCTCAAATAGTAACATTAAAATTGACAACAGTTCTTCACATAACTCTGTCCAAGCAGTCTGTTCATTTCATTTTCTGAAATGCTACATTTGAGACCAAAAGAAAAACAAAACAACTAAAGTTTCAGCAAACATGTAAGTGATGACTAGAAATATGCCACAAAATTATTTTTACAATACATTTCTGCAGAAATAATCCCTAGCTGAAGGTTTTTTTTATACACATATACAAAATTTAGACAGCAATATACACATAATCACAGTGAAGACGCTGGCAAGTTCACCAATTTGTAGTGTAAATACAAAATGCAAAGCAGCCTTCAAAGAGAACAATGCTACACAGCAAGCATAGCTAGCTTGTTAAATAGCAAACATCGAAAGTTCCCTGCAAAAGGGATGCAGTGCAAGAAAAGCAGCATGCACTTTGATACAAATAGCAGTTTATGGCTAATGGTTGACATAACTGTGGTAACAGTGACTCTTGAGTGGCTGTGCATAGTTAAACTCCTATGTCATCTGTTTTCCTTTATACCACTCCACAAACTCATCCAACAACACTGGCCCTGTAGAGAGATCAAATAACTGTATTTTACAAAATTTTGTAAAAGGACACTGAATCATTAAGCTCAGAGAAATAAACTATTTTAGAATACCAACATATGGTAGTACTTACAGGCTCCATCTTCATCATAGTTACTGAGGTCAAGGTTAATTGTTCTGCTGAATTCAAGAACGTTACACCATTGGTCCTTATTGATAACTTTGTATTTTGATTGCTGCTTGAGGCAAGAAACAGAAGTTACTAAAATATATTTCCAACTCCCTCAAAATCAGGTCCTCTTACTTAAAGAAAATTTAAACCTCATGCTGAATTATTTTAATCTGTATGCCTTCTAAAACTGGACAGGATTAAAGAAACCACTAACCAGCCAAGCCAGTGTTGAATAGTTCACGTTTTTGATTAAGACATCTTTTAGTGGACAAATATACAGCAATAAAAACAAATCAAAGACATTCTATACTTTGTCCTGCATTAAATAAATCTTAACAGCATATGGATTTGGGGAAAAGGAAGAAAGGAAGATAACCAGTTACAAGTACTGCTTTGGGGATCAGTATATTCTACATCAGAACAACTAAAAAAATCTTAGCTGTTCATTCTATCTCTAGTTAAAGTATCAGAGAAAACAGAAAAAAAAAAAAGTGACTCTGTTCCAAACTCCGTACCTCTAGAAACTGGTGAAATACTGGAAAAAGGGACCACGTTTTTCCTAAAAGAAGGCCCAACATACACTTGGCAGTATTGATATCTAGGCTGCGCTGGTCCTTTTCCTGCATAAAAAGGTCAAAACCAAGAAAATAACATAATTTCAGGATTTTTCACTTCCTGCACATATATATGAAATAAATTGACAAATGAATAATAAATAGCAGTATCTAGCAGAGGTTTTTCATAAAACACAACTTCTTAGTAAAATTTCCTTCCCCATAGCTAATAGCTTTCTATTCAGAGATGCTGCTTGATACAGGCTTTCCCAAAAAACCCGTCACCATTATTGCCAATGAGGCATACACTCCTGTTCGTAACTTCAGACACTGTCAGAAAGCAATGGCCATTACATCCATACCCATGTTTGCACATGCCTCTGCATATCCATGTCTCTTAAAAAAGTATCACTGCACATATTTCCTGCAGAATTATTACAGCTACTGTAATAATAACTGTCAGAAAATAGTCAAGTAGCTACCAAGTAACAGAGACCATGCAAGAGTGAGCCAAGGAGGTTCTTTGTTCTGTTATTCTACTGATTACATGGAATTCAGATTAAATATCGAATGTGCAAAGGGAATAAAACACACTAGCACACGGAGACCCAATTTTAGTTCAACACAGCAGTAGTGTATTAGGCTTAGGGGATGATTTTTTTGTTTCTGATAAGTTAAGAAAGTATCACCTGTACCCAACAGATTTGTTACATCTCATTAGTGGGAAAGTTAATATATCTGGTAACACAACTTCTACACATCTCAAAAGTAATGTGTGTGCGTGTAAAATTTGATTTTGTTATTTTAAGTAGTTTGACCATCGACATTTGTTGTCTTGAAATTAAATAAATTGCGGTGTGAGATGAGATGTAAAACCTCACACTTTTATGCCTTGCTTATAGCATTAAGCTACAAATTCAGACGTTAATGAAATCACAAAAAAATAAAGCTCCACATTAGCTACTATACACCTTGATCTCTCTGTATATATTCATGATTGCAGACAGCATAGTCTAAATTAAGAAAAAACATGGATATAGGGATATCCAGAATACAGGGAATGACTCAGAGCAGTGTGAGACAGCTACCCAGGACAGAGGGAACTGAACCCTTTGCCTCACCTTTGCAAGAGCACCTGTATATATTACAGAAGACACATCTTTATTGAAAACAATCTTGAAACAGGCAGAACTGCCTTCTGTATGAAAGATGTGGTAAAGTGAGATTCCAGTTCCTGAAGAACAGCTGAATGCCTTAGCCACAAGGTTACCTTCTCTTCTTGAAACCCATTTCATATAAAATAAACTTTAACTCTAAAATTCTGTAGACCAAATTTTATGTGGGTTTGTTTAGGAAGGAAAGTGTCCATTAAAAAAAAAAAAGTCCAGCAGCTCTGAAAACATCAGAAACTGGGTTTAGTGACCAAATGTAAACCAAAAGCGACTTCACTCATTCTGATTTAGAGGAAAACAGTAAATTCCCGTATGAACAAAGCTTTTCAATTGGTAATAAAATCAAAAAAACACACCTGCAAAGGCATTCTGTATTAATACGATACAAATCTTTCACTTATTTCCAATACCAAAAAAGTTCTAAAAAATAATCCTCTTTCCAAAGCCCATTTACACCTGTCACAAACACCTTTAGGCAGAAATGATACTGCTATAAGAATACATTTTACTTTCCATACTGTTTATACTCTGAATTCTTCCCACACACTTAAGTGTTAATGAAATCAGGCTCTGTTCCTTGTACTTTGGCTGTTTTTACATGCCTTATATTGTAAAGTTCCTACATTCTCTCTCTCTGACTACTGTTCAGAACAGATTATTCAGATAAGCCCTTTGTACCCACCTCCAACTGCCTAATGGCGCATCTGCTGTAACAGATGCTTCAATTGCATTTCCAGATACTTACATTAACTTTCTTGGATACAGTGGGAAAATAATACATTGACAAACTGTGATAAATGTTAGTATTTGTTTTACACTGAAGATAGACAGCCTGAGATTTCCCACACACACACATTTCAGGTAAAAGAGCTGTTTAAGCCATGAAATACATGCATCTGTAAGTTCTCAAACTTGGGAATGACAATAGCAAACAGGGAGCAAGGAGTGTATTTGTGCTTAATACCAACATATGGCATTTTAAATTATTTCCTCAAATCCCTGCTGACTTAAATCATTCATGCTGCACAAAACCTTGATTTTTATTCTTATTGACAAAGTAACTCTACCAAATCACAACAGATGCTTTCAAAAATTCTCTCTTAAAACTTCAAAAGTTTATACAAGTGCTTTTTGCCATAGAGTACTTCCCTAGAATTATTACTCTTAGGATAGAAATTATACAATCTTCTGAATCAAAACCCAAAAATGTTCACATCAGCTTTCTGCTACCAACTACTTCAATTATTCTGATAAAAATGAGATTTATCTGCTACATCTACATAAATATATCAGCCTTTGTCAGCCTTCATCTCTATTATTACTGGATGCCACTCTCCTTTAGACTTCCACTGGCTCCACAGTATTAAAAGTTTGATAATTCTACTAATCCAATATTGTTTTGACAATTCCCCTGTTGATATGCCTTTGACTTGCAGTTCTACAACCTGGGTTTTTGGCCACAAATGATGTCACAGCACCTGTGTCACAATGTTTAAATTCTTTTTCAAGACATCTGTTTAGTATCTCTTGAATAAACCTCACCCACTATCCTCTTCTTAAGTTTCTGCACTTGCTTTTGACAGGCCATTAGCTGATTCAGATTTGCTACCTGTTCAAAATATTCCATCAGTATCTTCCTTTAAAACGTTATTTCTTGCCTTTGCATTTTATGTTGACCAAAACTGGCAGAATCAATCTTCACACAGCAAAGGAGTAATTAAGATGTTCATAAAGCTTTTTTTGTTCTCTCATACAAACTAATACCATGCATTTTGACATACTCAGCTGTAGGTTTCTTCGGTTAAAAGTGAACTACTGTGAATCTCTGCAAGCTAACATGTAGAAAGCACTGATGTACCACAAACCTGAGTTGCCTATGACAGAAATTGAACTGAGAGCAATTCTGATAGGTAAGTCTTTCTTATTCTTTTTCTCATGTTACTTCTTTTTTCCTGCAAATTTTCTTGGTGCATTTGGTTCTCCTGCACTGAAATCTTAGCTTCAGTTTTGCCTGTGATTGTGTTTATGTTAAATCATCTGTACATCACATTACATCACATTAGCAAGATAAATGTCCAAATTCCACGTCAAAATGTTAATTTAGAAAATTAAAGTTATTTTATTGCTCCCTTTAAGTAGGAATAGTCCTATGTATATTATGGGTTCCAATACCAGGTACAGTTTTATGGATACATATTTTACAAAAGGAAGACTGCTCTTAGTATATTGTTTAACAAATACTGAGAATACCATTAATGACCTTCCCAACAGTCATCCAATATACAACAGAATAGGGCCTAAATTACTTCCTTGGAGTTACACAATAGCTTGAAGCAGAGACGTAACAAATAATGTCAAAACACTGAACCACTGAACTTTGAGCATCCTATATACTTTTCCAGTTCTAGCATTTTACATATACTTTCTTAGAATATGAACAGATCCATTTGTTAGAAGCAATCTAGAGTAGTTTCTTAACAGAAACATACTTAGAAATATACAGTCTTCCAATCATTACTTATGAATGTAAAGTTTTAATTTCAGATGCTGGTCCTCTCCATTACTTACCCGTGCAAAGTCAAATGCATATCTATAAATAAGTTTAAAATTGGTAGGTTCATTTAATAAAGATCTCAAGTAATCCAGAGAATTTCTCAATTTTTCTGTAGTATCACATCTATAAAAAAAGCACAAAGTGAACTTAAGAGTCTGCATTCTCACACAAATGTCCGATGGTTTAGAAAAGCATCTCTAACATGTATCCCCATCAATCTGTTCAAAATACATCACTTTGTACAAAGGCATGTTTATGAGTTTGTCTGCATAAAATGCCTTGATTAAACCCATAGTACGAAACGAATTTAGGTAAAATAGAAAAGTCTGACACTGGTATTTGATAAAAAATTGTCTGGCCTTGTGGAAAATGCACTCTCCAGAGGATTAAACTAAGACATTGTCTATACATGGCAAATAACCAGCAAACCACAGCAGTGAAACGATTCTTTGCTGAAACTATAAAAATTCTCACACAGTTTTAGTGATTCTGTTCTGGAAGGCAAGTCAAAACACAGTTCTTTCTCCAGCTCTCTGTGAATTACATGATTATTCAATTGCATTTGTTAATTATGCCACAACCTAGAGAAAGCAAATCTTAGAAAGAATATGACAATGAAGAATCACAGAAAGGTTTTGTATTATTTGGCATTTTGAATCACGCATGCTCTAACAACATGCCAATATCTAATAGATAGGTCCAATCCAGTGACAAAGACAGATGTCTTTGGGGACAAAACCAGTGCTGAACCTCATGACATTTCTGTTTTCTTGAGACCGCAGACATTTTAATCCAACTGTATTTAAATGTGTAGCTGCCAGGTTTCAAGTTTTCTCTAGGTGGCTGTATCACCATAAATGGGACCAAAAAAGTATGGCTTTCACTCCACAGCAGAGCTGTCCACTTTAAGTGTTATGAGTCAAAATATCAAAGCCTGTTTTTTCTAAGAACTGGGTTTTACTACAACAAGTGTACGAGGTTTTCCAAAGCACTTACTGTAGTGACGTCATTCCTTTTAACCATTCTTGTAATGTAAAGTAGCCCATGTTTTGTGCATCCAACTTCCATGCTAGTACAAGCATAACTACCTGAAAAGAATTAACAAGAAGATGCACACATTATTCAAGTAACTGTTTAGTAGGCTACTAACGCTTTACTCATCTAAATGGGATGTTCAGATCCTTGCTGCACTATTTTAAAAGTTAAAAAAACCTGAAAATTACAAACCTGTACATAATCCAAGGAGAAGATTAAGTGTAAAGACACACTGAACATCCACCCAAGTTACAAGTAGCCACCCTGCTTTAAAGGAGCATGTACAGCCAACTAGTGAGCGGCAGGGAAGATGAGTAGGTGCAAAAGCTACAGAAACGATTTTCCAAAACTGTTACAAAAGTTAAGTACCAATGTGCCGACAAGTTACATTTGACATTTGTTGCACTCTCCTCTAGATGAACATCAGTTGCAATCCATGAGCTCTATGAAATCCAATTACTGAAAGCTAATCGTGATCCCACCTGAAACCAGCTATTCCATCCAGCCTACCTAATTGTGCAGGTCTGAACATGCAGTTTAATTCTAGTAGATGTTAAGTAAAGCTAGATTAACTAATATTAACATACTCAAAGCAGAGGCTGATAAAAAAAAACTTCAGTTTTGCCCAAAAGGAACCAGAGTCCTTTTCACACCTAACAAGGAAGACTGAAGCCATAAAGAATTCAGATAAAGTGATTACAGTCTTACTCAGGAACTCAAGAAACCACTTGTGATAAAGACAGGGAAAAACTTTCAGGACAATTCGCGCTGCAGACCAGAAGAAGAAAAAAATCAAATAATTTAAATTTGCAACTCAGCCATTAACTAGCTGTTAATACAGCTCTACATGGATTTTAATGCAAAATCAGAACACCTACTTATATACCCAAATGTCTGCATAAATATCAAGGGGTTATTGTATTAATAAACTTCACAACTAGGTAATCACATTTCCAGTAAATCTCTCAAAGCCACAATTCTCATTTTACTTAGAGATGACAATTTATGAAACCTGTAAAAGATAGGCCTTGAGTATACATTTTAAAAGCAAAGATTAAGCACTAGGAAAAGCCTGTAAAAGGCACTATTCATTTCTAAATTTTGTTTACTTACATATACATATATGTATGCATGGCGGCGTATGCATGTATGTTGTTACAGGTATCCCTTATTCGTCTTTTAAATGGCATAAAGGGAGTGCTAATACTGCTCACAGTTTTCGAAATCTGCTCTCCGAGAAAACCCAAATAAAACACTACTTTACAGTTTTGTACCTGCTACATTAAATCTCCTGTGTCTTCTCGTTGTTTCTGAAAAGACAGCCAGCAGCCTTTAAACTTTTATTTTAAAGAACCTCTCAAATCTCTTTTTTGGAATTGTGGGAAAGTGAAAGAAGAGGTGGCAACAAAGACTAATTGAGATTTTACAGGTTGACAGTTTGGGGTTTAATATAAAAGCAACTTGTTTCCAAATGTGCACATAAACCTCCGTGGTTTATATTTCTTTATTAAAAAACAAACAAACAAAAAAACACAACAAAAAAAACAACCAAAAAAAAAAACCCACCAACCAACCAAAAAACCCACAAAAAAAAAACACCATCAAAACAATTCCAGGTGTTATTTTAATTCTTGACGGAAAATAAGAGATACAAGACCTTCTCATGTGCATCATAACAGATCAGGCAGCTTTTTAATGGACTCTGAACTTACATTTTCTGGTTCAACTCCAATGTCTTCACAAAATTTCTCCATACCTTCTGGCCCTACAATATCATCAGTGCCTGCAAACGTAATACATTTTATTTATCTCTGAAAATTAAAGCAGTCCTACACCTTTAGAGCACAAGAGAACTGAAATCACACAGTACAACCTCAACTTCTGTACAGTTTGGGGTTTTTTGTTTTGACACACAATAAGTATTTCCACACTTACTATCAGATCTGGATACACTTAAATCTTTATCTCACCTTTGGAAACAGAGACAGAAAAAACGTAAAACTACTTTTATTTCCTGACAATATCCTTTATTCTACCCATCTACTGAGATAATCTTGCAAGAGTAAATTAATAAGACCTTTAAGAATGCACTTAGGACTAGCAAAACATCCACCTAATAATACCATGGTTAAATGGGTGGACAGTGGTTAGCAAAACTCCTTTCTTGGCTTGAACCTCTAATGTTACCACAAGATCATATCACATAAAAACATGATACACAGCTATACAGGATATAAGACATTATCATTCTCAGAATCTCCTTCCTTACTGTCTCAAATACTATCTACATAGCATTTTCTAAAAAAAAAGAGCCTAAAATAAAAGTCTTGCGCTCCTGTTTGTTCACATTGCTATGTCATGGCCACACATTATCTGAATTTTAGTAACTGCAGGGGGAAAGAAGACATGAATTACAGCTATTTCTTTGCCAACTTAGATGGGGGAAAAAGAAGACGAAAAATATAGATGCTGTTTAAATGCACTATTATTAAAACATGCTGTTAAAAGAAGATATTTGTAATCTCTGTAATACTCTTGAAAAAAATATATAGGCATTAAGAACTGCATTGTGCAATTTAATTTTTTTAAGTAAATTTTAAGTATCTGGAATATTTTGTTAGAGTTCTTTATTATGTTTAAAAGGACTCATTCAGGGAAAACAAAACCCAGAACATTAAAGGCTGAAATGCCTACTTTTATCCAATATAAAGATCACAAGGTGCAAGAAAGAGATCTGGTTTATTATCAGGTGACCTACTATTCTAAAATAACAAGGTTTAATTATATCTTTTCCCATTTTCTCATGATATCCTCTCATAGTTCTGAGTGTAAACAATAGTTTTTAGAAAGGCTCATTCTGTAATGTAAAGACACACACTAGGGAAAAAACCTCCAAACAAATGCAGTGTCAACTCTCTGCATATATAAAGGAGAAGACTTATGAAGCAAGAACACCAAATAGATTATTCTTTGAAAATTAATTTTTAGAATGTTACTCAATACTGTAAACAGAATCATACTCTCCACTTTTCTCTGTTTTATCTTGGTGTATGCAGCCAATGGAAAACCAAAAGTTCTTTCATACACAGCCTTACTTTCATCCCTTCTTTCCATGAAAGCCTTGACAAAAATGAGTTATCCCTGTTGCTAGAGTAAAAAAATAAATCAAGCTGGTCGGAAAGGCAGAGAACCTAAAAGGTTAGGTTTGGCTTGAATTTGAATGAATCTCCTCTCACAGACTGCCACAGACAAGTGAGATATCAAAGTATTTGATTTAGTTTATGTAATTTTATTAGAAGAAAGATATTATTACATCAAATTGTCACTGTTCATTATGCATAAGAAGCAGATAAAACAGAACAAGCTCTGAGAAAAGGTATCCAAGACAACATCATAAAACTGCAAGATAACCTTATTTTGTCAATCACCTATTTCATTTCCTTTTGGTTTTCAGAGTCATGAGATCATGTTTTCCCATACTTTAAGCTCTCCCTTTCAGAAAATCACATGTAAAAAAATGAATACAACCACCAACTTCAGTATTAAAGGGCCATCTTCTGTTACTTCAGATCATAATTAACAACCCTAGAAGTAATGCCTGAAGAAAGTTCTCATACAGAAGGGCAAAAAATACTTCAGTCTACCTTTCCTATACTTTGTGATATAAAACTATATAAAGACAAGACCAGTATGGGATACTTGAATTTATACACTACTTTGCTTGAAATCATATGCACAGCACTCAGCAGGAAAACAAAATAATGTTTCTACCTATCCCAACTTTAATTAAAAAAAAAAAAAAAAAAGAAAAAGACACACTTGTGAAGCATAATTCTGTACTATTCAGCACTAACATGGCAGATAACAGGACTTCTAAAGAAGTAGAGGTAACACCACTTTGGAAAGAGGTACATATTTAGCTATAGATTTGAATAGTAAAGCATATATGTTCCAAAATACTTTCAGTTACACATCTTCTCCATTCTTTTTCTAGAATAAAGATAAAACTGCCCCTGGAACCCTTCAACTTCACACTACACAGAACATAAGAAAAGCTTCTTTAAGACTTTTACAAAAAAGCCTCTACAGTCATTCTTGGAAAAGGTCAGTTAATGCAACTTTCTTATTCCAATATAGATTGAATTGCTAGTAAGAAGAAATTTGCATTTCACCCTTACCTGCATATTCATAGAACCATTCTAAGCACCTCTTACTTGAAAAGACTTCTTCCTCTGCTTTTATTCGAGACGAATCATATTTCCTATACATACTTCAAAAATAAAAGAGAAACAAGCAATTAATTCATCACTTTTTTAGAAGCAATATTTATTCAGACACTATAAGCAGCAGTGTTAACTCATGAACAATTTACCCAACATTCTGTCCTCATATGCAGTCACTTGGGATACTGCTTAACAGAACAAGAACCACTGAACCTAAATGCTATGTTTGCTCAGTCTGTCACACTTCAACTGATTCATAATCATTATCCATGCACATGAACTTTCCTTACAACAAATATAGACTAGCTCAAATTCAAACCCAAACTGTTTTGCATAAGTTCAAGTAAGACTTGTGCACACTAGCAGTGACCACAATCAACTGATGGGCTGCAACCTAGCTGGGTGTCTAAACCCACAGTAACTGCAAGTCACAGTGAACACACATACTTCATATACTTTGAATTATCTACTAAGGAGAATGACACATACTCTTCTTGCCTCCTCAAAAAAAAAATTCTCTAGAAGGTATGAAGACCAAAATAGACACAACCCACACATACATTATTCTAAAGCCTGTAAGTTGGTAACACAAAAGAACTACAGAGAACAGGATACAGGTCCTTACTGACAGTAACTCAAGGAACCTCATTCATCATGGGGTGAAAAGTTATCTGAAAAGCTAGATCCATAATGTTCCTCCACACCCCCCACCCCCCCCCCCCCAAGGAGGCAAAGTTACGCTCTGCTTTGACAAGAAGCATAAAGAATTTTAACTACATTCAGGAAACAACACTGAAGTACCGATCTCCTGACTTCAGCATCTGCAACACCTAAAGCCCAGAAGGCACAGCAGAAGCTGATGAGTTACTCCACCCTGTTTAGACTTCTCTGAACCAGAGACACTATCATTTGTGTTAGAGGCAAAAGACTCAGCAGTCTAAGTAGCTGTTCACTGCTGCACATGCATTCTCTGATCCATTTCCACCACTCTGCAGTAGTCTGGGCTCATACCGGCTGAAAAGAGCCAAGCAACAAATGGCTTAGATTACGGGAGGTAGCCAAGAATGGCTCTGTGATTGTTCCAAGCATTCAGCCCTTCCTCTTACCGTCCTGCTGGGGGAGAACAAAACAGCAGCTAACTGCTTCAAGGAGTTTGGAAACAACCTGGTGAAATTAATTTGGAGTTGATTTCATCACCACTTTCCTCTAGAAAGACATGTAAAAGATGTGTATACTTAGGAGATTAGAGTACACTGGATCCCACTATCCTCCACCTACCTTACAAGCTAGGAACTGTAGCTAGACATTAATGGCATATAGATCATTACAGTGACTCAAAGAACTGCTTTGTGTTTATTGTCATAGCTATTTTAAACCAACTGTCAGAAAAATAATCCTGGTCAGAACAAAATGATAAATTACTAATTGAAAGACAAATATAAATTATGCTCTTCAGACATTTCAAGATGGAAAGAAAAAGTAACACTGTTCTGAAACACACTGATCTGCAACTAACTGCAACACTGCAGAAAAATGCCAGTCACACGTGTCCCAAACATATACATTCACGTAACCACCATCTGTATGTCTGATTTTTGATTTGGATTGGTTCTTTTTGTTTTGCTGGGGATTTTTGGAGGGGTTGGGGTTTGTTTCTTTTCTTCTTTTTTTTTAATTTTCATTTTTAAAACAGCTTAAAAAGTTTTTTCTCTTTGAATTACCTACTTTGTGCAAGCTTTACTGCAGTTGCAAATGAACAGGCTGACAGCACTGCCCAGTAAGTAAATGAAGCCAGAAGGTAGAAGTCAAGAGTTGGAACAATTTATTTTGTTCCAGATCTGATAACTTGACATTCTCATACTTGCAGAATGACCTGTGATTTTGAAAGACCTACCCAATATTTTTTAGGCTAATTTGAATTCAGAGAAATTAAAAAAAATGTCTTGAGACAAAGAAAGGAAGCATTCTGCCACTTTGGCAAAAGTCTAATTATTCAGTATCCCTTTTTTTGTAGCAAACAAACGTGACAAACACAACTGAAATACCAAATTGGAAATTGACTGTATCAGGAGCTAGCCAACATCTTTATTCTATTCTTTTTATTCAAGAATTCTCTAAGAGCACTGCTGGGACCTAGGACATGCAAAGCTAATGTGGTTCTCAAAGACAGACATTCATCACAAGACTCTCTTTGTTCTTACAAAGGGATGATAACCAAGTGCCTTGCCCTGCTTGTTCATGGAACCCATTGGCACACTCACTGTCAGTATGTGAACACTGCGTTTGGGAAGGAACCTTCAAGAAAAATTTACTAACAGAGCTCTAGGTCACCCAGGTATATCAGAAAAAGGATTCCTGCATCTACATACACCAGAGCTAAACACTGTAGCCTGAACCAAGACACCAATGACAGGAGCACGCATAAGAAGACTGGTGAATGACAACAGAAAAAACAACACCCTTTTTATATATTCACTGCATCTACACATAGTGAGTTTTCATAGGACTAATATTGTGCTTAAGGCTAAGGTCATTGTTTCGGAACTGCAGGAAACAATAT